TCTCTCCTTGCTTTTGCAGCCTTTGCAGTGTTCCCTTGCGTTTTAATTAAACTCTGAAACTCTTGAAATCCCTCAATCAAGAGTTCTTGCTCTGCTGCCGAAAAATACTGAGCGCGCTCCTTCGACATTTTCGCCGACCAATCAAAGGGTTGCCGATCAATGTTTCTACTATTGATGCATAGCCCCTTTTAAGCCACCCAGTGATCTCACATTACTTCATCCAGCTGTACTAATCATCAACAACAGGTGTGTTCGGAGAACCGGAATAGCGAGCTCAAAGTTGGCGCGATGATTTGATCTTGGATGTAGTAAGCGAGGTACGAAGAACGGACCCCTGGGCGCTTGGCCCCCCTACTGGCCAACAGAAAAAAAAATGTTAGGTTACAATGGCTCCACTTTTCAGTCTCTGAATCTTGAATTCCCATTTTTCATATACAGTCCACTTTAGTAGACTGTCTTACTGTTTGAGAACTTGGTTCATGGATGAAGTGGACGGTCGGTTAGCTTCTGCTAGGGCACAAGAAATGAGTATCAGCGTAACTTCAAAACTGAATTTTTAATATGTTGTGTTGAGCTGGCTTGATAAAAAGCTGGAGGGTGAACCACCTATCCACATCCTTGGCTGACTGCTGAATCATCAAGTCAGGACAGGAAAGTATGTATTTACCAACCACAGCAGATAATGAGTGACCATGAAGAACCTGACTACTGTTTTTCTGGATGCATTTCCGGCATCTGTGTTTTTCCATTTGTTACTTAAAGCTGTGGTTAGCCTGGCAGCAACGTTTGATTTGTGTGGGCTATTAACTAAAAATCCAAACCACTAAACAAGGTGTGATCAAGCTTCTGTACCGAAGCGGTGATATAACACTTCCTCCTGTGTTTAACAGATACAAATCCAGCATACATAATTACACCTGTAATTTACAACAGCTGAAACCTTTGATTTCACCTTGTATGTGAGGATACTTCTATACTGATTACACTGTAAACCATTCATTTAAATGTTTCAAGAGGAATGATTTAAGATTTAATTAGTTGTCTACTAAGCCTGCTGCTTAGTCTCTGTAGGAGATTTCTCAATATGGAAAACTACTCAAAACATTTTTTTTTACTCTCAAATACAAAAAGAGCAAAAAGCTATAGGAATGCAGCATGAGTTTTAAATGCTTCTAAGACTAATAAGTTCCTTCTTTATTGTGAGTGTACTCAGTGACAAGTTTCTTGCTTCAGCACTGATGTTTATCAAGACGTCAGAGCTGTAGTTAACTGATTACAGGCGCTGCACAGCGACATAACAACACACCACTTGCTCAGACTTGCCAGCAGGAGCTGAGAACAGCCTGAGGAACTGATCATGACTACAGGGATTGGGTGTCACAAAAGGTGACTCACAGGGAGGCCGATTGAGGAAAAGAAACTCCCTGCATACGTTACTTAATCCACACACACCCAGACTCAAGACAGAATAATGGTGCAGAGATTTTGTTCGTTGTGGTTTTACTTTTCAAGCGAAATACTGGAGAACTACCTGAGGTGTGTGAGCCCTTACCCAGGAGCAGAGTGTCGACACTGTATGTAACAATGCCATTTTTCCATGAGCAAACATTCCCATGAATCTTAGACCAGAGACAAGTAATTTGGAATAATGTAATGAGACAGAAGCTTTTTTAATCAAGACCCTCTTAAATAATCATCATATTATTGCTTTAATTTCTCAGCATTAGCTCAGTGAGACACATATATGTAAAAGAACTTGATTTTCATATCTTGGTCATATTATTAGGAACAGGTTACTTAAGACAGAATTGATTTACTGATTAAAAGAATGTGATGCACAGAAGAAAAAGAACTAGGCAAACTGATAAGCCATGGTACTCTTAACTAGTTGTGACTGACAGTGCTTTAGCACACTGTGAAAGTTAATTGATAGTTAATTGAAAGCAGAATAAGCAGTCGCTTAAATGATTTCACTCTGCTGGACCTGTAATAGTGTTTGTGGTTAATAATTATTTTGCATCTAAGAGAAAAAAAACATTTAGGATGCTGATAGGTTTTAGGAGTGCTGGTAGGCAGGTCATCTTTGGATGAGCCATTTTCCCCCATTTCCAGTCTTTGTGCTGTTGCAAGGATAATTCAAGCTATCTTTTGTGACTATCGGTTAAATCGATACCTCCTAAAATGTCAGACTGTTTTTTTTTTAACTTTCCCAGAGATTAAACAGACATCTTTTCAAACTGAGGCTGCAGGGAGTGGACTGGAGGGGAGTCTGTTTCTCTAGGCACAGGCTTAATGGTTATTTCAGTGGGTGTCCTGTGGTGTTAGTTAATCAATTGTTGTTAAAGTCCTCTGCATGATATATAAACCTGAACTGGCCTGAAAAATGCTTTGAGTGCTTTGAGGCTAATGGCATTTGGATACACCGAGACAGGGAGGTTAGAACACTGTTCTTGTCACACTTGGTCATTTCAGTTTAATAGTCAGCAAATAAAGTAATCAAACTGAAATTCAGGTCGTCCCTAATCCATGATAACACACTGTATACTGTAAACAGACGTGCAACAGAGAAGACATTTGTCTCAGTCTGACACACACTTGGGTTCTGTAAATGTAAATGTTTGTGCAACAAACATCTTTTATGGATGTCTTGTTTATGTTAGACACATTATTTCGCAGTCACCCAGCCCTTGAACAAAGTTGGCTGTTTGTGTTGTTGTCCTTTAGACTCGTTTGCATCAGGTAAAATGCTTTAAGATAAGATAAGATAAGATAACCTTTATTAGTCCCACACGTGGGAAATTTGTTTTGTCACAGCAGGAAGTGGACAGTGCAAAAGTTATGAAGCAAAAATTAGAATACAAGTGTTTAGTGATTAAGGCTTTGTTACCCAATAGCCCCTTTTTCATTACCAATTGAGTGCTGACCAAAAAGGACAAGGAATGTGACTTGTGTCAGCAAAATAAGTTTGGGCAGCTCCACCCTGACATTTCAGCCACAGAGGTTGAGATAATGAGTAATCTTTCTGGTTTGAGTTCACATGGGTTTGTAGGAGTCATCTGTGTGAAGACACTGCAAATGTTTTATTTGATTTGTGTTTTAAACCAACATTCCTTGCCGTACATGACAATAAATAGAGTCACACTCCAAAATTCAAATGTATTGTCTTTGAGAAGTGCTGCGCCACTATTCCCGATGTATTAACAAAGCCTCTTTGTGTCCGTCAATATGCTCGATTTTCATCATTCTGAACTTTGTACCCAAATACAGAAGGGGAGTGGCTTTAGGTCTGAAACAGGTTTATGACTCCCTGTGAGCAAGTTTCGAGTCTGATAATTTGCATGTCAGAACTGGAATCCACACCCTCAACCTGCAGACTGCTTATCATGTTGAGACACCTCTGCTTCTTTGTCTTTTTCAGTAGGCACACATGAGTCTCAGAACATTGAACATAAGTTGAAAGTATGTAAATGTAAGCGGGATATTCTGGGAGCAGTCAAGAGGATTTTCACAGAGTCAGGAATCTAAATGTAAGTCACTGTTATTGAGTATAAGATAACATTGTTGTGACTAGCTCACTCAGCTTTTGAAGCCGCTGAGAGACATTCAGCGAGCGGCTGTAAGAATATCAAATGCCTCACTTTCAAATGTATGAACACTGGGAGATTTATGAATAAATGTAAATAGAAAAAACAAGCCGTTGTTATGAGGTGTGTGTCCTATGATTAAACGCGTTGCGATAACAGCTGCTCAGCCTTTTGACATTACTGTTTACCAGAAAAGCAGCACAACCAAGCCACACACTTGAAGGAGCTTTGATAACTGAGATCTAACTCAAAATGTAAATAACTGCGCATATATAAAATCTGAATGTACAAGAAAGCTGAAAAGGTACCTGAAAACAGGTATAAGAAACAGCTGTACTTAAGGTGATCTATATGTTGGCAATGGTTCATGCTCTGCAGCAAAGTCGGCAGTGAAAGTAAAATTTCCACTCACACTTTCCCATAGAGGAAAGTAAAAGACTATAGGGCAAGTGCAAATTTGACTCTACGCTCTCTACACTTAGCCAACATTAATGTGAAACTAGAGTGAAAAGCTTGAATGTTTAAACTGTAACACTCGTTTGTTCAGCCGACATGTGTTTGCATTAATCTGGTGAGACCTGATTGGACATATAATGTCAAATATAACAGGGAAGCACCTGGATCACCGAATTAATGAAAACCGTGGGCTTTAAAGGCTACAGTGTTTTTTTTAATTTCCTGTTGTCCAGTACTAATATTAACAGTGGCAATAGCTTTAAGCTGTCAATCTGTCAATCTAAACTCTAAAGGGGCAAAAGGGCACCCCAGTTTGAAGCGATTCACATTTAAACATGGAAGGAGCAGATATGGTGTTCAGTATTTCAAAACAGCTTTCAAAACCAAAATAAGTGTAAAACACAGACTGGATTTACCAGAGTACATTAAAAACCACTTAAAATATAAATCTACTGACAGCAAATTATCAAGTAGTTCCTGGTTCAGCAATTTTATTTTGTGTTATTTATATAACATGGGCATGGTGAAGCATGAGATATTTACCACCCTCTTCTCAAGTAATTTATCATATCTTATTATTGAGTGTTACTGAGGAAATGCTGGTTAGCTAATCAGTAAACAGCTCTTTGTACAGCCCCTGATTTCTTTTTCTAGTGGTGAGCTCACCTTAATGTCAGGTGAAAAACAACTACACCTTTCTAACCATCCAAGCATGCTGGGTTTTCACGTTGATAAAAGTGACAGAAGTGAAAACAGGTTGGTTTTATTTACATTTCAACTGTACAGTGGAAATCCCTTGATGTGAATTTTTAAGTCTTTCAGGTTTCGAAACAGCGCTGTAAAAAAACGAATTATGTTGTTGAGACAAACTGAAATACTTTCGCCGATTAGGCCTGTACACGCCATTAAAACGAAACATGTGTTGACCAGGACTATAGCTCACCTGGTTGAGAAGGCGATCCATATGCTGAGGTCTCCATCAGAGGCTCGGGTTAGAGTCTGCTCTCCTGTCTGTAATATGTTATGTAATAAGGCCTGGCAAATGCCTAAAATACATCTTTAAAAATGCCTTTTAATATCTTCATCACCTCATAAACTATCTAGAACATTAAATAATTTACTGCTTTATATAAGAACACTGCCTTTAATGTACTCTTTGACCTTTCCATGCAAACTGTAGTATAGTTTAATACTAACAACTTTCCGCGTACTGCATTACAGTTTACCTTTCCTCATTAGGGTTGCCATGAGTCAACATGTTCCACCTTGTTGCACTGTTTGCTCTCTGATCCTCTAACATTATGTCATTGATTTTCATTATCTAATACAGGTCCTACTGAAAAAGTCTGGAGCCATGGAATGTCCAGAGTTTTCCCAGTTGTCCTCCTTGCGAGGTGAATTTAAATCAGAGGATTTCATTCAGCCTCACTATAAGGAGTCGTATCGGCTGGCAATTGATCGCTTGGTGAATGGCGGCAGAGACAGTTACCAGGAGTTCTTAAAAGGAGAACGGCTCGGGAGCTTTCTCTCCGAAGATGAGATCCTATTCATCACTGGAAATGCAGAACCGCTCCCACCTCAAACCCAAACCGAGGAAATCAAAGATCCCTTGGATACCAAATCATCCTCTGGGACATATTGGCCCATGCACTCAGATGTGGAAACGCCAAATCTGGACTTAGGGTGGCCGGAGGTTTTGCATGAAATGTTACAGACTAATATAGATCTGCTCTTTCATCCACCGAGACTAAACAGCCCAACGATTAAAGAAGTCATCCGGAAGCACATTCAGGATGCAAGACAGGTAATCAGAGCTACCAGCAACAATGGACTGAGATATGCGGGCACGCATTGATCACAAAAGCATGTCAGAAGCACCTTTCTCCTTCAGGGAAAAGGAGTGTCTGCTGGGGCCAAAATCTGGTTCTGCAACTCATCATCATGAGAAATGAGTGTGTGAGCTATTTTTATAGTAATTTCCATTACTGCATTATAAGAAGCAGTTTACACCTCAGTAAACAGCCTGTGTCAGTTTTGCGTAGTGGACAATTGCTTTTTTGAAACTCTGAGCTGGCTGTTAATTAAAGCAGCATGTTCACCAGAAAATGGCAGGAAAGTATCAACATAAGTGCATCAGACTGTTTCCTAAAGCTCACAAAGCGCTAAAGAAACCACCCCCTCAGTTCTCATGCTCGTGAAGTGTAAAGAAAACGGAACTGGAATAAATCTTTAATGAGACACAGCAGCTGCACTGTCTCAAGCCTGTCCAGACAGCAACTTTTAATTTTTAAATAGTGCATATATGAAAATGCATTGGAGATCACACACAGTCCAGGCACAATATGTATTAAAGTAACACTCAGTAAAGTCACACATAGGTTCATTACATGCTGCAGTAACACAGTGTGATAGTGCTATTTTCAAAGCGTCCAGGATTTTCACCATCTGCATTATCATTAGGAACCTTTTATGTACACTTACTGAACCTGAAGTGAAATTAAAGAACGAAGCAAAAGGGCTCTAGTTTGGTCCCACTCACAAAAATGTTCCAGGAGTGACTGAAATGGATTTGAGATCAATGGATGGCAGTGGCTCAGGGGGGTGGCTGTGGCTCAGGAGATACTGAATCCCAAGTTGCCCCTGATGCATCCATTGGAGTGTGAGTGTGTGCATGACTGTTAGACAAAGTGCTTAGGTATAGAAAAAGTGCCTGTGTGAATGTGCATGTGATTGGGTAAACAAGACTTGTGGTAAAAGGTGCTTTGAGTGCTCCAAACATTTAAATGTATTGATTATAGATAAGCACATGTAGGCGTTTATCGTGTCCCTTTTTCTTCTTTATCGATCAGCATGGAATCATGTCGGAGACTTTCTTCATAAGTGATTATTCAGAGTCTAATTTATGGCAATTTATCATTTATGAGCTTGCAGATGTCAGATTGATTTACTATTCACTGTTGATTTGTCCTTGCAGGTCATTGCCATTGTAATGGACGTGTTTACTGATGTGGATATATTCAAAGAAGCCGTCGACGCTTCAATACGGGGAGTCCCGGTTTATGTGCTTTTGGATGATTACCATTTGAAAAGTTTCCTGACAATGGCTGAAAATCAAGATGTGAAACTCCAACAACTGAGAGTAAGTTTAGGATGGAATGGATTTATTTGATGTTTTGGTTGTGCATGGATTCTTGCATGTAAATATAATCTTCCCAGGCTTAAAATGTTTTTAAAGTTCACAGTAAGATAGTTCAAAAAATTGTGTTTATTGCCTTATGCAAAGTAACAAATTACCTTTTTTTAAAAAAAATAAACCTTAACTTTTAAGTGTTAAATTATTAGTAAATCTGGTTACTCCTGTTTTTGGGTGGAGTTGTAATTACTGGTGAGAGATTACAACGACTCAAACACACCTACAAAGTTCCTTTTAAATAGATATTACATGCCAACAGCAACAACAACAACTCGAGGATTCGACAAATAATTCGGAATGATTCTGTACAATATGCATGCTTGTATCACATATTTATTTCCTCTTTGACATATTATTACCACTTGTAAAACAGGTGGTAAGACAGTCATACATATGTTCTGACACTCTCCTTTCATTGCTCTGATTGCAGAACATGAGGGTGCGCACCGTGAAAGGTCAGGATTACCGCTGTCGATCAGGAGCTAAATTTCATGGTGCAATGGAGCAGAAGTTTCTTTTAGCTGACTGTCACACAGCAATTTACGGCTCATACAGGTAAACAAAACTGCAATACAACCGGAGCTGTGGTTGAGACCACTGAGGTGCATACAAAAAGCTTTCAGCACTATATTTGTTCTGGCTCTTTACAAAATTTCTGTCACAGTTAGTATTTATTATTTGTTTCAGCTTTTTGCTGTTTACTAATGTGAAAGGCTTGTAGAAACTGTGACTGCACTTATAGTGAAAAAAAGTTTCAGTATACCAGGTGTTGTAAATGTATTGTACTAGTGTACTAGTACTAGTGTACTTAGAGTCTGTAAGTGCAAACCTTTAAGAGAAAGGTTTTCATTTAAAGTGAAAGCCTTTCAGTTTGAGACTAACAACTATTTGAGGATAACAAATCTAAGCTGTAAACCAAGGGAAACAAATCAAAATACAGTTTTTATACAAGTATTTTCCTGTTTGTTTACAGTTTTACCTGGTCATTTGAGAAGATCAATCTGAGCATGGTTCAGATCATCACAGGACATCTGGTGAAGTCCTACGATGAGGAGTTTCGAACCCTCTATGCCCGATCGATCGTGCCACCTGAACTGTGTCCTCCAGAGGGTTTGCTCCAACGAAATGGGTCACTTGGGCAACAGATTTTACCAAACTGTCATTCTGCTCCAAATCTTCAGCGGAGGGACATGTTGAGGCAAAGTCTGGACACAGTCTATCGGAAGACTCGTGAGAGGAACCTCGGTCCAAGAGATTATGAAGAGAGGCTGTTTGAAGAGGAAGATTACAAACTTAGACCCTTGATGGAAAATGGCATTGGTGTTCAGGAATTTCAATCGGTGGAGGAGATGAACTTCTTCAAAAGGCACAGCTATGCTGGAGAGAGACAAGATGGACACGAATCCATCCCACAGAACATCAGGCCTAAAGGGAGCAACTGGAATATCTCTAGAGATGGAGCAAACAACTATGCTATGAATAATTATTTACAAGTGCCACAGATACACAGAAGTCACAATTTGCAGTCTTACAATGGAAATGACAAACGAGTTCTATCCAAGCAGCAGAACATTCCAACATTGGAGAATATGTCCAAGTCCTATATGCGTACATTGAGGATCGAGTCATATCTTAATAACCCTGATGTCCCATTTGGGGACTCTTGTGACTATTTAGACCAGTTTGAACAACTGGACAAAGCTAGCCCGTTCATGCAGGGAGGGATGAGGTCCTCTCTTGCTCTCAGGCCAACCGTACAAGAACAAATGGAGGCAAACAGATATCTACATACTTCTAGTAGTCTTAGCCCCACAAAAAACAGTCATTTACACTACTCATCCATGCAATGGACTCCAACAGGAGCAGGCTATGATACAGGTAGAAACCCTTATCATTCATATGCCAACCTGAGCCGAGCTAAAGACAGGCAAATAATCACAAACCCTAACATTTTCAGTGACAACTGGGTCAAAAGGCACAGTGTGGCAGATCCGAGATCAAGCACACATGAATCATCAAATCACATGTACAATGCTTTTGTAAGGATGCAAGAAGGCCAAAGTGAAGCAGCAATGACTGCACTGAATGGAGGACATGGGTCAAATCTAAATGAAGATCAGAGATCTGTCTCCCATTATGATGTCAAGAGCATGACAAGCACAAAGAGTCCCAGTGGCCCCATTTGGCAGGAGCCACCGGCCCGGGCTTTGTCAGCAGCAGCCCTGGATGTGAAAAGCAAGGATTTGACTGATAAATCTAACCGCACGGGCGCTAAGAAAATCACATCTTTGCTGAACATACAAGAGAAAAAAGAGAATTCAACTAGGAACTCAAAAACACCAAGTCTCACGTCAGCGGACAGCTCAGACACTCTGACTGCTGAGGATGAGGAGAAAACATCAGTTATAGAACAAAAACATCTCCCAAGCAGAAGCATTTCTCTCAGTTACTCCTCAGAGCGCCAGAGGAACAACGTGGAGGGCATAAAATCTTTAAAATCACGATTCCAAGCTGAGAAAGAACAACAACCTCCGCAGAGCGCTCTCTCCAAAACCACCACACAGAAGAAACCCAGCATTTTTGACAAAAACACAAGGCCTGGATTTCACTCAAGCAGCTGGAGCAAAGACAGAGGAGCTGAGAATCGCCTGTCGAGCAGATTTGAGCCTTTCGTCTCATTGGAAAAGAAAACCTCTCTGCGCACTCCGCACAGCTTCAGAATCAAACCGTCCCAGGAGAAGTCCAAAAGCCTTCCAAAAGGCGAGGCAGCTATTGAACTCAACAGCACTCAGGCTGCCCGTGGACATCATGAAAACAAGCTGGAGAAATTCTTTCAAAGAGTGGGAAATTTTATACACAAGAACAAGTAGTGACAAGTGTCTTAGCATTACGCACACTCTTCACAGGTCAATAACTACTAATGCACATGTGATGGGTAATGTTTATACATGTAGCTTTGCACTTTGCTGCGTTAAGAAAATGTTTTGGCAAACAGAGTTTACGTTTTTACTGGTTTATAGGTGCACTGATGGATGCCATATATTGGCAATCTGGAAATACAATTGTCAAGCTGCTTTTGTGTCTTTCTTCTACTTGAACTTCCTAACAAATTCACTGTCAGAATGTGTTTGGGGATGCGTACCTTTTTGTTGTTTCAAAATGTCACAAAAGTATAAAATGTATTGCTGCAAGTGCATACACATACCAAGGTGCTGTTACTACTGCCAAAGCCACATGAATGTTGACGGATAAGTTACAGAATAAACATTGCAAATACTACAGGTGTCCAAGATAAGATATGATGGAGCACATCCTGTGTCAGACAGGTTTTGCCGAATGCTGGGAGGGTGCAATACTTCTGTAAAACATGTGCTGTATTTTCTTAATAAAAATTTGCATCACTTTTAATATATTGTATTCAGGAAAATGAAGAACACTTTCTTTATTTACTCATTGCTTTTAAGAGAGTCATCATAAGAGTTTGTTTTAATTCATGGGTTTTGTGCCTTAAGTCAAAAGTCAATGTCCCACACTTGACTCAAGGTGCAAGCCTGTCTCTAGGCAATATGTTCATATATTCTTCATCCTGGCGTTGTTCCCACTGGTGCAGGGTCCGCTCTTCGGCAAAGGTTTCTCCATTTGGTTCTGTCCAAGGCGTCCTCAGGTGATGTGTTGATGGTCTTAATGTCCTCCTTAATTTTGTCCATCCACCGTTTCTTCAGTCTGCCTTGAGGCCGGCATTTTTCTGGGTCGATCATCATTGCCGTTTTTGCTACAGAGTTCTCATCGCTTCGAATCACGTGTCCATACCACCTCCGGCAGGACTTGAGCATCTTTTCCTTAATTGGGGCTACACCTAGTCGCTTCCGTATGTCTTTGTTCGTAACACGGTCCCGTCTTGTAATTCCCAGGCTCCATCGGAGCATGCGCATCTCCATGGGCCTGTTCATGTGTGGTCAATGCGGGCCAACATGCGGAACCATACAGGGCTACTGGGCGGACCACCGCTTTGTAGATTTTTCCCTTGAGTCAATCTGGCATTCTTCTGTCGCAAAGGACACCAGTGACCTGTCGCCATTTTAACCAGGCTGCATTTATTCGTGCTCGGACATTGGAGGTTATTTCCATGACTGAGAAATATAACCTTGAAGAAGGTTGAAGAAGACCGCTACTTGGACTGAGCCCAAGTAGCGGTCTTCTTCAACTCTTCATTGTCAATTATGATGGTGCCATCAGTTTGGGGGCCTCCGTCCAGGTATTCGGTCTTTTTTTCGTATTGAGCCGCATACCGTATTCATCGAGCCGGGTCTTCCAGAGTTGTGTCATCGTTTGGGTCTCTTCTCTGTCTTTGCTGGCGAGAAATACGTCATCGGCAAAGAGGAGAGACCATGGATGAGGTAACTGGAGGTTGGCCGTGATGGTATCCATATGAAGAGGAGGGGTGACAGAGCTGACCCTTGGTGGACCCCAACTCTAACTGGGAAGGGAGGTGATAGTCCAGCGGCGCATCGGACTGAACTGGTGGCGTTGTCGTAGAGGAGCTGTATCCATTTGATGTACGCTTAGGGAGTGCCATATGAGGTAATGGGGTACCCTGTCGAAAGCCTTTTCAAGGTCTAGGAAGGCAATATGGAGCGGGCGGCATGTATGGCGTCAGTTGTTCCACATCCCTTTACGAAACCGCATTGGTTGGGGGTTGTGATGTTGACAATTTCCCAAAGACGTGTATCGATGACTCTTTCGAATATTTTCGGCGTGTGACATAGTAGGCGGATAGGACGAAAATTTGAGCATTCGGCTACATCCCCTTTGTTCTTCCATATGGGTATGGTAATGCTGGTCATCCAGACCGTTGTTCGTATGTTCGTATATTACTACATTGATTTCCTAATTTGATTGTGTTGACACACAAACACTGGCGCTGTACTCTATGCTATGAGTGCTTGGGGCTGGTGGGGAGCACACCACATGAGTTATTGTGTATTCAATCAGACCACAATCTTTTTTTTTTTTTTTTTTTTTAAACGT